TGAAATGTAGGTTTTGATTTACAAAACATTATAACAATCCTATTACCTCCCATGAACTAGATTAGATAATAAATGTGTAAAATCTAGTATGTCACCGGGCGTTGGTGGTGCACGCCTTTAATCCCAGCACTCAGGAGGCAGAGGCAGGCTGATCTTTGTGAGTTCAAGGCCAGCCTGGTCTCCAGAGCGAGTGCCAGGATAGGCAGGCTCCAAAGCTACACAGAGAAACCCTGACTCAAAAAAACAAACAAATAAATAAATAAATAAACTCAAATATGTCTATATAGAAGTTAATAGCTACACCTATTCTGCACTGGCTACTATTAGAATGACTATAATGTATGAGGCAGGTATATAATTCTATCTGCAAACCAAGAACATTAATGAAACCACACACATAATGAGTCCTTTAAAATATATGCTGAGATGCTGGGCAGGCAGCTTAAATGTAGAGAATTTGCCTACCAGGCACAAAACCCTAGCTTCCCTACACACAAACACATATGAAACAGATGGCTTTGGTTTTTATTCTCATCTGATGTTACCACTTAGAGGTAAGTAGTACTATTAGTAAACCAAACAGTGACTCTATTTTCATTTCCAGAAACCTTGCTAGTTCTGGCTACCAGTAACAGAATAATGCAAGAGAAGATTTAAAAGGCTTCCCTGATACTTTTTTAGAATAAATTCAAATCTCAAAACAAATCTTCGGCTGTGCATATAGCTCAGTGGCAGAGTGTTTGTCTAACATGTACAAGGCCCTAGCTTAAACGTCCAGTAAAAGTGAAGAAAAATAAAAACTTAAAACAAAACTACCCTACATAAATTTAGTGTCCACTGTTCCCAAAACCGCATTAGAATCAGGCATACAATTTTGATTTCTATTTTTTTTAAGTTCTTAAAAAGAAATTATTTTTATTTTATTTTAAATGTAGGTATGTTTTTCCTGCATGTATGTCTGTGCATCACTTGCATGCTTGCCCATGAAAGACAGAAGAGAATATCAGAGCCCCTAGGACTGGAGGACTATCATGAGCTACCTACAAAACGTGGGTGCTGGAAATCAAATCAAGGACTTCTGGAGAGCAGCCAGTGCTCTTAACCATTGAGTCATCTCCTGCCCTGCTTTGAACTCTTAACGTTATTTCATTCCCCAAATTAAGATATGCAAGTCTTTTTGTCCTCAACATATTAGCAGTCTAAAGAAAATAAATCATTTAAATGTGATGTAATTAAGTATGCTCAGGTACATCTAGGTGTCAATGGAAGGAAATAGGAGGTCCTTCCATTGGGTAATCAGTCAGTCAGAGAAACAGTCCCAAGATTCTGCTCATCTCAAACAGTGGCGAGTCTGATGACAGAAGGGGTCAAGGACATGTGAAACAAGGTCAACAGCACAGTCAAAAGAAAAAAGATAGGAAAAACTGCCTGTTGAAAGAAATCAATTTGCTAGACTAGAGAAAAGTATAAATGTGGAGAGAAAAGTGGAGGGGAGAAGCATAAGATTGGTCATGAGATAAGGCAGGAATCAAAAAGAGATTAATAACACTAAGTAACCCAGAAAACTATGTTAAACTATTTAAAAATTTCCAAGAAAGTATGTAATCAGACGTGCCTTTCAGAAACTTCCACCATACTAGGAAAATAACATTTTAGTGCATTTAAGTGCACAGACATTCCAAACTCTCTATCCCTTTAGGGGATAATTGAACAGTAAAATAAAACAGCAGCCATGATGATATGGTAGAGAGCACTCTTTTTCTGTTTCTCATGAGGGTGGCTGTGGGGTAGAGGTAACAGTTGCAATGGTTAATAAAGAAAGGAGGAGCAGAACAACATTGGGCTTTAAAGTGACTCCACTCACAACTGACAAGGAAACAGGATCTGGCCTGTTCTTTTGGCCAATCCAAGGGTGAAGGGTGTCAATCTCAGGGTCCCTTGAAATGAGAGCTGACCACGTGAACTGCTCTTCTGCCTACAGTGTTGTGTACATAAGAAACACTGAGTAACTAGACACAAGGGCCACACACAAAATTCAATTGTACTTTTTATTCAACAGCAATGAACACATGAAAATAAAATGAAGAGAATTCCACTTAAAGAGAAAGAAAACAAGACAACTCAATTCCTTTATAATACTGTGAAAAAGGGAAAACTCAAGAGAGCTATACACCAAAAGCCATAAAACACCACTGAAAGGAAACAAAATACCTAAGCAAATGTAAGATTACAATACTTAAACTGACATAACATTCACCTACAACGCCGACCAAAACTGCAGTTGTCTTTTTTTTTTTTTTTTCAGAAGTGACCAACTGATTCTAAAATTAAATGCAAGAGACCCAGGACAGCCAAAATAATCTTAAACAAGAACCACTTCATTTTAAAAATGTGCCACAAAACTACACTGCAAATGTGGTTACGATGTTGAGGACAGAGTTCAGATCAGCAGAGAACTAAGAACATATTTATGTCCAATGAATCAACAACTAGATAAGCATATGTGGGGGGAGGGAGGGAGGGAAGGAGGGAAGGAAGGAAAGGGAGAGAGAGAGGGAGGGAAAGGGAGAGAGAGAGAGAGAGAGAGAGAGAGAGAGAGAGAGAGAGAGAGAGAGAGAGAGAGAGATCAAAATGATGCAAGACCTGAATGTAGGGGCTAAAATTATAACCATCTTTCTGGGTTCACTTTATGGCTGCTGTAACAAAATAACCAGGGAAAACACCTTAAACATTTCATCACATGGCCCCATGCATTTGATGATAGCATCACAGATGGAACATGAAAAAGAGACAGAGGAAAGCAGAGACAGAAAAGAGCAGAGGAACTAGTAACTCTTTCAAAGGTAAGTACCTTGTTCTTCCCACTAAGTAAGCCCCACCTCCTAAGGCTTCCTCAATACCCCCAAATAGCACTACCAACTAGGGACCAAATGTTTAACACATGAGCTTGTAAGGGACATAATATATTCACACCTCAACAATGTCTTAGTAAAAAAAAATAGGTATACACAAGTTTCTCAGATATGATACCCAAAGAATAGGAGAAAAATCTGCAAATCATTTCTCTTACAAGAGTCTATTACACATCACACATAAAAATCTCTTGTAACTCCAGATTTAAGAGCAACCAGACTTTTAAAAGGGCAAGGGATTTAACTAGACATCCCATCAGAGAAGATAAATAAATTATAAGTTGGTAACATCACTGGTCAGCAAGGAAATGTAAACCAAAAAAACTATATGGTATTGCTTTATACATCAACCAGAATGCTATACTGAAAGAGATAATAACAAGTACTGATAAGGATAGAGAAACTATACTTCTTGTGAGGATATAAAACAGCTAGAAAACAGTATGGCAGTTTCTCAAAATAATTAACATGAAATTACCATGAGAATGATAAAGGATGAGTCAACACATAAATCAGAAGATGTAATGCAGCATATCAACAGACCCAGAGACAGAAATCTCAAGTCAAGAGGTGGAAATGACCTGTGGAAAAAGTTCAACATCCTTTCATAACCAACACTGAAGAAACTAGCAGTAAAGGGATCATACTGCAACATTATAAAGGCTGATGGCAAATCTATTCCCAACATTACACTCAATGAAGAGAACTGAAATTTCTTCCTCTAAAATCAATAACAAGACAGGTTTCCACTTCTTCAGTCTTATTCAATATGGTTCTCGAATTGCTAGCCAGAGTCATAAGACAAGAGCAAAAAAAAAAACAAAGGAGACATAAATAGGCCAGAAACTCACTCAAATCACCCCTTTTACAGATAACATGTTCCCTACTCAAGAGGCTCTAAAGCCTCTGGAAAACTTTGATTTGATAAGATTTTGAGCAAAGTATTAGGATATATGTTCAACATACAAAACCAGTAGCTTTTCTATACATCAAAAACAAACCCTGAGAAGGAAATCAAGAACACAATCCCATTCATGATGGGACAGCATGGTACAAAATTTTAAAAGTGTGTATGTGTGTGTGTGTACAGACAAATGGTACAGACAGACAAATATGGATATCTAACCAAGAAGGTGAAAGAAATCTATAATGAAAACCTTAAAACATTAGACAAATTGGAGACACTACAAAATAGATCTCAAGAACTAGCATAATATTGCGACAATGCTATATTATCAAACATAGTCTACAGATTAAACACAAACCTCCATCAAAAGCCAAGCATTCTTCACAGAAAAAGAAAAGAAAATTCTACAACTCACATAGAAATATTAATGACATCAAGTAGCCAAAGACACTCTGAGCAAGGCTGATTTCAAATTATACTAAACACCTGTAATAGATACAGCATGCTACTGAGACTAACACACACAGATCAACTGAACAGAGGAAACAGAAACCCACATGGACACAGACATGTGATTTTCAACTAAGGTGCTAATCTATTCAAATTTGATGGGGAAAACTACATATCCACATGCAGAAGGAAATTACATTCCTTTATCTCACTCGGCAAAAATCAATTCAAAATGGAGTGAAAAATTCCATGTAAAACCTCACACTTAGAAACTGCTACAGGAAAAGCAGAAAAAAAAAAAATGTATATGTATATGTATATGTATAGGCAAGGCCTTTTGTCCAAGAAAGTAATAGCAAAAATTGTCAAACACAACTCCAATAATACAGAAATACTCTGTACAGCAAATAAAATCAGGTTTCCAAATACTAACTTTTCTTCTACACATGATAAAAATCATAGAAAGAAATAGTTTGTTCTTAAGCATGTATATAGGGCTCCTGTACAAAAGATACTTGTAGTTTCAGTGTGTGGGGGGGTATCTGTATGTGTGTGGTGTGTACACACACTATGGTGGCTAGTGAAGTCTGTAAGACTTGGTTCTCTCCTTCGAACATAAGAGTACTGAGGTTTAAACTCTGGTCATCAAGCTGTCTCAGCTGCCCCACCAAATATGTTCTAGACCACTTAATACAAAGAAAGGACATTAAATGAGATTAAATTTTACTCACTTTCGCTCCAACACTGCAACTCCCAGTACTCCCAGTGCTCCCAGTCGCAACTCCAGTAAATCTCGCTTCCAGTAATTCTTGCCTTCTTGGATCCAGACTGTGAAGCTCATCCATTGCACCTATGATAAAAAACAACACATGCAAATATAGTGAGACTGCAACAAAAAATTTACAAACAGCTGGGAAGTGGTGGTACATGCCTTTAATCCCAGCACTCGGGAGGCAGAGACAGGCAGATCTCTGTGAGTTCAAGACAAGCCTGGTCTACAGAGTGAGTCCCAGGACATCCTCCAAAGCTACACAGGGGAACCCTGTCTCTGGGGGGGGGAAATATTTTTTTTTTTTTTTACAAATGAATGCTATAAACAGAACAAAAGAAACTATGATGTTTTAAAAGGTGCACCCCATTTAACAATGCATCTTATAGCACATTCATATTTTTGACTATAGGCTACAGTACACCCAATTCAGTATGCAAGCATACACACAAACATAAAGATATTCCACAAAACACTTGGCCTACTGTAGGGAAGTAATAAGAGTCCTAAACAAGCTAGGTGCCATGGCACATACCTACAATACTAACACTAAGGAGGGTAAGGCAGGAAGATCATGAGTTCAAGGCCAGCCTAAGGCTACACAAAGAGCTCTGAGCAGCATGGGTTACTATCTCATCTCAAAAACCTAAGAAAAAAAGAAGAGAGTCCTATACAATGTCAATTCTGTTTCTAATACATTAAGTGATGAGAAGAACACAACATACAACATTAGTTGTGAGTTATAAGTGAACCACAAAGGGAGAACTCCCCTAGCATACTCAGAGCCTTAGGTTCAATCCTCAGCACCTCAAAAAAGGGGGGAAATTTACATTATGCATATTTTACAATTAAAACATTTAACTTTTAAAACTAATGAATTGGACTTCACCAAAATTTTAAAGGTTTATTAGTAAAAGACATTTCCAATGAAAAGAGAAGCAAGACTAGGAGAACACGTTTTCAAAGCATCCGAGTATTCCATACCTCTCCTTTGGCCTGGCAACTTGTTGATAATGCACCAGCACTCCCTACTTTGTCCAGCACCAGTCAACAATAACAAGGTATTTTATTTCCCACTGTTAATGGCAAATGTGTAGTTTCCTCTAGGACCTAAATCTTCCATACATGCTCTTTGAAGTATTCTCCTGGAGGCGGAGCATTAAAGCCAAAAATGCTCACCCAATGCTGCCTCACTTCAACAGTCTCTAACACCTTCAACAACTTTTAAAAGAAAGGATATATGCAAGTGCCCCTAGCACAGGTCCTAGCACCAAAAAGGTGTTAAATAATGCACTAGCAGTGCCTGAAGACCTACCTAGAACGCTGGAGAATTGTTAGCTATCAGGTAGGTAACCGTTATCAGCTAAGATACTTCCAATCAGTACAAACTCTCTCAGCCCAGACCAGAACCTGCATTTTTTTTAAAGATTTTTATTCATTTATTATGTATACAACATTCTGCTTCCATGTATATCTGCACACCAGAAGAGGGCACCAGATCTCATAACAGATGGTTGTGAGCCACCATGTGGTTGCTGGGAATTGAACTCAGAATCTCTCGAAGAGCAGTCAGTTCTCTGAGCCATCTCTCCAGCCCAGAACCTGCATTTTAATAAGGCCCTTGAGCACTTTGTATTTGAGAAGCTCTGCTGTCAAACAAAGACTTGTCAACTTTTTTATTTAAAGAGAGAAATCCTAAGTATTTCCATCTCTGTAGACCAACAGGCAAAATCATGTACACATTTACATAACAAGAGAAAAAGTTTCCACAAACTTCATGGACAAAACTCAAGTAATAATCATTGTGAACAGTATCTTACAAGTCTGCTAGTAGGAATAACAGATTCTTCACAGGAACAGAATACCTCATTACTAGAGCTTCCAAAATCTCTTGCTAATATTCAACCCATAAATGCTAAAGTGAATCTCTGCATTTATCTTCAAAAAATGATTTTACTCTTTTAATATAAAAATCACTTTGTTGTAACAAACTCATAAATAACATATGATCCAGCTAGATTAATGTAGCCACTCAAACACTCACCGAGTCCCTAACTATACTAGCAATGAACTTCTACAGTTAGAATGCCGTTCTGAAGACCAGGAGCTTCACTCAATTTTACATTTTCACTATCAATTACATTCTTACATCTTATTCATTTTTATGTATGCATGTACCTGGGTGTATATATGTGTACCACATGCATACGGATGCCCATAGAAGCTAGAAAATGGTCTCGTGTCTCCAGGAACTGTATGTATATAGATGGATGTGAGTTGTCATGTGGGTGCTGGGAACTGAACCCAGGTCCTTGGCAAGAACAGCCAGCGCTCCAGATCCTGATGTTACTTTCACTGATACAAGTACAGCCAAAACTGATACCAAACTCAGCATGTGATTTTAGTTGAAGACATTCATTACCTAGAAGCCAACAGTAGAACTCTATTGGGTGGCTCTTTTTGCAGTGTCACTACAACACAGAACCAATCAAAGGATAGGTAGAAGCTCCTCACTGTACAGTTAGGTAGATTCTGAAACCTGGGAGTTCCTTTGTGCTTGCTACACCATCTGAAAATGGCCCTGGAACTACAGATGAAGCTGAAACTATACCCAAGCACATCGTGTTCTGCCTTCTCCAATGGCACTTGTGTACATGAGGATGCAACATACTTTACTACATTCATTCTGTTTGTTGTTTGGTTTGGTTTTTGGTTTTTTGAGATAAGAGATTTTCTGTGTAGCCCTGGCTGTCTTGAACTCACTTTGCATGTAGACCAGGCTGGCCTCTACCTCACAGAGATCTGCCTGCCTCTGCCTCCTGAGTGCTGGAATTAAAGGTGTACATAAACATGCCCAACGTGTGTTCATTGTTTTATCTTCTAATTTTATGTCATATTCATTTAAAACCTGTAAATCTGAGAAACAAAGTTTTCAAAAGTAAATAGTATTTAATACTATTATCTAATTGATAATGGTTGATTCTCTTTGATCATAAAAATTTTAATCTTAGCCTTTAAACAACTGTTAAAAACAAACAAACCAAATACTTTACCAACACTAAGCCAGTCAGGATACTAAGCTTTTGTTCTTAACAAGTATCCATGGAGGCAATGCTACTTTAACTCCATGAGAGTAAATAGCATTCATGATAGTGATTCACATATTTTCTGCAAATTATTTGCTGTTGAGTAACACACTAACAACCATACGCTTTGAATATCTTACATTATTTTTATCTGTTCCACACATATTGATCACTATTCATTGTAGCACATTTTAGTGAATTCTGCTTCTGTTTGTGCTTAGGTATTTCCTCAATTTTGAAAACACTTGTCTGTGGCCAGGCAATGGTGGTGCACACCTTTAATCCTAGTACTCTGGAGGCAGAGGCAGGTGGATCTCTATGAGCTGGAGGGCCAGCCTAGTCTATATAGAGCGAGTTCCAGGACAGTCAGGGTTATTTCACCAAGAAACCCTGTGTGGGAGGGGGGGTGGGGAGGAGGGGGAGTGGGGAGGGATGGGGTTGAGGAGGGAGGGGGGAGGGAGGGTCTGTAAGTACTCCACAGAGTACTCATAAGGTTAACTTTTCTGCCACTTTAAACTTACAAGTGAGTTCTCCAGTAAATAACAAAAGTAAAATCAATAACATCTGTCAACTCCTCAAGAGTCAGGAGAACCACTAGATACCATGTGCCTTGCCTTTTAATTGTCTATCAAAGTCACCCCAAATGTCCTTAAGTGTTAAAAACAATTATTCTTTCCAAAAAGCTACAAGTTTTAAACAAGTTTCTGTACATAATTTTTTGACTTCTGTGATACAATTTAATTAACTCAACATTAGTAAATGACTCTGCTTAGCTAACAAATAAGTCCACTAGAAATCTGTTTTGATGGTAACTACATATTTTTTCACTTTTATTTTTAGAAAGAAATTATGCTATGATGAAATACTTCATTTCAAATTTTCCAACTATAATCCCAAAAGTTGGGAAAGTTGTAGTATGCTTACCCTGATTATGTCAACATACATTCTTCTATCCCAATTGTACTGTTACTATACAATAAGAACAGTGTTTTGCTTTTTTAATATTTAATTCAACAAAATAAGATACACTGAGATCAAACTGTACAGACTGAATCACAGACAATACATTAGATTTCTGTTTCTCTATATATCATGACTTTAAAAAACTAATTTAAATTTTATCCTTTATTAATAAAAAGTGTCTGATGACTAATCTTTCTTTCATCAAAAATTAAACAAACACATGCAAGGGCTGGGGAGATGGTTCAGCACTTAAGACACAAGCCCGAAGACCTGAGTTTGGATCTCCAGAAGCTTGTGAGCCAGCCAATCTAGAATATGCAACAGAAACAACAAGAGACAAGGACAAAGGTAAGAACCTATACTGTAAGCTATCTCTGACCTCCACATGCATGTCATGGCACACAACACACACACACACACACACACACACACACACACACACACACTCTAAAACTGTGTAGGCTTGGTCTATGTTCAAGCATACATAAATTTATGTTTATATATATCCTGTGTTTAAGCATATATAAATTTATATTTACATATAAAACAGGAAAATAACCATGTGAAATTTACAGAAATGTTATAGTAAAACAAGTTTTATGTTGACTAAATCTGTCACTTAAGGTTCATTCAATAACATGCACCTATTCACATGTTAATATACAGGTGTACACCAGCACATATAATATACATCTCATGATTTATGCTCCTTTCAGCTTTCTCCCAGGGTCTGAAATTCCTAGTGGGTAGAATAGCATAGATTTTAATGCTTAATTTCTCTCATGTCATGTAAGATAATTAGCCAAGATCCTTTTTCTCTAGCCCTAGGCTTACAATTTTAATTTTCCCTCTCCTGCATTCATACATGAATATACAGGTACACACTTTATACTAGATCTCATTTCTATATTAAAATATAGTCCCATTTTTAAAATAAGGGAAGTGAAAAGGAGGTTAAGCAATAGAGTCATTTGTTAAAGATTATGACACTCAACTAAGAACACTTTAATTCCACAGGAAGGTTCCAGAAGA